CTGCAAACGATGATAAATACGCGCAACAAAGGGCCAATACTGTCGGTTGATGCCTGCCCAGATTATTTATTTTATATCCGAGTCATGCCGCGTACAATAGAGTGACTAAGTGCGTGTGTACGCAACCTTGGTGTTACTTAACAATTTATTTTCATTGCCGTGGAAATAATTTGAATCACACTCATGGGAGTGGCTGCGTTTTTAACGAGAGAATTTATACATAAATAAGAAAGAAAAGGCGCATGAATATGTATAAATAAAAATGAGCAACTTTCATCATCAACACAAGCAAGGATCAAAAGAGAGGCGTTTCGCCATCATCTATTTAATTTAGTGCACTTTCTGCTGAAAAAAAAACGCACGCCATTTTAAGAAGAATTTACTTCAAAGACAAAATAAAAATACTAGGGGTTCTTTTTCGGGAGGGTGAAATTTCCGGAGACTTAGTCTCTTTAGATCGTCTCCCTGCCCCGAAACAGAAAATTGTGCTCGCTGCAAAAATATCACGCGGAGGGGGTGAGCGAGCTAGCCGGCGCGAAATCACCCCCTATTATTTTTCCTGCCAATTACCCCATGGTACAGAGAGCACAGCTTCCCTCTCGGTGTTATAATGCGCCGAAATTGCTAGGAAGCATGCACGCAGCACATTATCTAGCGAGTGGGTGGGGCCGCAGGGGTTGAATCACGGCCGCAATCAGAGCGAGGGTTCGGACCGGGAATAAAATTATATATTTCGCCCGAAATGTATAGAAATGCAACGCTCACCCGGGCCGTTTGTGTACCAATTACAGCGCGCATTGAGGGCCGACTCGCCGCCGCCACTACACACAATCAAACCTCCCTTTTTTCATGCAAATGAATGATGGATGCAATGTGCCGAGAGAGAAGAGAAATTGCTGCGTGCGGATAATTCAATTCTGCGAGCGCCGACCGCACGTCTCTGCTGTGTTGGTCCGGTCACCCTTTGGAGAATATTATTTATGGATCGAAATCGCGCCTGCATACGCTGAGGATAAATGGTGAAAAAGCGGCGTCCGCTTCCTGAATAATCGAAATGCTTTGATGAAAAATGTGGAAATGGGGAAATCAAAGTTGAATTTCAAATCAAACTGTTAACACGGTGGAGACAAATGAAATATTATCAAAAAATAAAAATGAAATTAGGCAAAATATTTATGAATATATGAATATAACGTTTTGTGTTTTCATTTATTCTAACTTTTTACTACAATAAATTTTTAATAATTATAAATATTTTTTAATATGTATTGATATTGAATAAAATAATGATATTTTATAAGTATATTCATTGCATTTCAAGTTTTCTAAAAATTATTTCAATCAATTAAATTTTACGCTATGCAGTGCAATTTGATAAATTTTGGAAACCAATTTTTTCTTCTTGCGACCTGTCATAACGTTTTCTCTGCCAGTAATTAGGCGAATTGATAATATAATATGTATGAAAAACTAAATTTGTAAAACGTTCAAACGAGGCGATTTTGTTGGAAAGTATTTAAGTTCCACTCCAATTGAAGATCTGACGACCAGTCTACATCATATTTGTTGAATTTTACTTCTTACTTTTATTCTTCAATTTATAATGTCTCTATTTATTTTCCCATCGTGCAGATTAAGCATTCGGTTTTTTTGGTGTTTGAGTTTAAAATCGGATTTCCTCAATGGGTTTTGTGATCAGTTCCTTGTTTCGCAAAAAAAAAAAATATTCTGCCATTTTTTCCTACAAAACTAGAAACGATTAAAAAAAGCTGAATTTAAATTTAATCACAAAAGCAAACCTCCAAACCTTGGCCGTGCAATTCTCATAAAAATAATATTGAACTGCGATTTCTAGCCTTTTTTTGATCTCACTTCCTTTTTCAATTTCAGACTGCAGATCCAACACCCATAAGTGATGAAACCGGATAATTTGAAAATTATCCAAGCCCTTCCCTTTCCGAGTCATTGCGCTTCGCTTATGTTGATCAAACTCTATTTGTTTTTACGAATTTTCCAGGCGCTCAACTTTGCACGAAAGCCTACTGCGCTTCCCATCGGAATCACGGCTCATTTAGCGCAGGTATTTCTCTTCTCTAATGACCAGCCATTTCGTAACCTTATAAAAGTTTCATGAAGGGTGCCGCCACCGAGGAGCGATTCGTCGCTTATATTGCATCTCTGGCTTTATACCCGGAGCCAGAGATAAGCCTCCTTCAATTATGGAAATCGTTAATTCTGCTGCATTATTCAGCAGCTGCTCAGACCGTTTCCAATTAGACACACAGCCTCACACCATCGAGCATGGCAGCGGTGCATCGCTTTTCCAATGCGACTTTCTCGCTCGCTGAATAAAATTTATATCATTCTTGGCAGATGCACGGATTGTACATACCAGTCTGGTTCACAGAGGGAAAAGCTGAGCCACTCCTGTGCTGATTATTATTACTCTACGTATGCATTTAGAAACCATTTAAGCTCTCTGAAAAGACCTAGCAATGTTTGATCTCCGCTCGTTTTGAAATGTAATCATAGTGGGAGTTTAAATGGATGGCGATGAATGTTTCATAAATGTCTGCCAAATTAGCATTTTGATTAAAATTTTCAAATTAAATCACATCATACGCTTCAATGCTATTTCGCAATGTAATGTGAATCAGCTTTACGCTATTTATTCATCAAAACGTATAAATATTTCAATTAATTTTTATATAGATTACAAGCAACCAAAATTGTTTTATTGAAAAAAGATAAATTTGGATAGGATGATAGGGACAATTAATTTTTAAATTATAATGATTCTTAAAAATTTGCATTTTGAACAATTTCAATCTACAAAGGTGTGTAATAAAATTTCAAGAGTTAAACAAAATAAAATCAAAATGAAACTTTATCTTTGCTTTAATGCATGGAGGTGAAAAATATTCTCCCCTTCGAGAGAGGATTTATATTATTTTCGCGTTATTCCCCATGCGACCGAACTTTCCGATTTCCCGTTGCGAGCGCATTATTTCAAGATTCATAACTTGGCAAGTGTGGCAATTTGCGGGCGCAATCGATCCTGCTGCTGCAAGTCTCGAGCGCACCATTACGACTAACGTCTTGTGTCTAAACCAATATGAAAATGTATTGAAAAATCAATTCCTGCAATATTGGAGCGCGTGTGTCTGCGAATATCGCCGCCGCCGTTCCGCCAGCAGAGTTCACATTGGGTATAAAAATCCCCGACCAATATAATGTTGCCGCCGAGAGCGTGTGTATAAATAATAAGTTGTGGTATTTTCGCGCATCAGATATTCCCAAACGCACATAAATTTCGCGCCAGAAGCGCGTTTATTCCCTCGGCAGTTTAATTGAATTGTCAAGTTATGTATAGTCGGCCGGGGCAAAAATAATTTAAATAATAAATTGTGCGCGGACGATTACTTTTTAATAACTTCTTCGTAACCCCGGGGCTGCTTTTTATATTCATTAATTTTCCTTCTCATCTTTTCTCTCTGCGGCCAAAGTAAATCACTCGCTGGTGCAACCGGACTGCATGATTTACAGCGCACTTGCACGCTACAAATTGAGCAATTCTGCTCCTGCAATTGTCGCCGCCGCCGCGCTACGTGATGCATTTTATTATTCTTATAATAATAAAAGTTTGCGCACGCCCGTGGAAAATTATTATGCAAGCCGGCTTATCAAGACTTTCCATGCTCATCTCCCATAAACAATGAAGCTGCTGGAGCTGAAAATATGCATCAAATAATTTTATTATACGCGCTACTTTTCTCCTCCTCATAATGAACTCTGAAATGCACTAACTCGCCACTTTCGAGGATGAAAGGAAGCTTTTATGTTTTTGATGGCATTTACATGTACAATCGTTACATCTATGCAATGCTAATGCCAGCTAAAGCAAGTGCAACGAATAAATTCATTCCACATAAAAGTCCCCGAGGCCATCAGTTGACAAGACAAAAGAGCGCGCAACTCCTTTTGAAGTTTACATTCGGATAGATTGATCTCCATCGGATGCATAGAATTGATATTTCAATTCCATTCATTTTTCTCGAGAAATGAGAATGAACTAAATACGTTTCAATGCTGATTGCAAAAAGAATGAAGAGTGAGCACCACTTCTTGCAGTACTATAATATGACTTTTTTTAATGGAGATATAATATGTATGGCAAGACATCAAAAGTCAGAAGTCAATCACCAGAATTAATGTTTTCATTTTTCAATAAAAATAATTTGTTGGAAGAGTTCAGGATTTAAAAATAATCCGATGAAATTTAGCAATATTAGTTTTAGACTAGGAGTGACTTTTTCAAAGTTGATTTATGTTTTTCATTGCAATACGTAAAAAAAAAAAAAAAAAAAAAATAAAACGTAACAAAATATTTTAATTATGAGACTCGAAATTGAGAAATTATTAAAATAAAATATTGTTTAAATAACACTTTTTTATTAATATAGAAGCATAAAAGTTTAAAAGTTGAAATACTTTTATTTCATTTTAATTCATTCAAAGACTTCCTTAAAACGTTCCAGACTCAATTCAGCAGCAGTTAAACCCAGAGGGCCATCAGCGAAATATCCGCAAGTGCGAGAGCTAAGCCCATAAAACGGTGGCCAGAGAGCAAAGCACATTGCCATTTTTACGATGCAGAATAATGCCGAGGCCAGCAGCTTCATCATCTAACATAATTCCCAAATGTGATGAAAATTTAATTTCCTCTGCAGGACTTTGGCGAATAATAAATAAAATACGGCCGGCAAGCTTCACCATAGCCATTTTTAAAATATATTCCGCATGAATATACGGGCTTTCGCAGAGGGTTACGGCGCCGGAAAATCCTTAGAGAGGCGAGTTGTTGGCCGCATTGTTTATCACAGAATGGCGGGGTTATGATTAATTTAGCCGCACGCTGCGTATTAATAAATTGGCTACGTGAGAGCATTAGCTGCCGATGTGATGAAAGTAAGGGTTGCTAAGGTCGGCCGTGTACTTACCCCCTGAGTGGTTGGTGTGCTGTAGGAGTAGGTGTCCCAATCCAGCGGAGGCGACATTTTGGTCGAGTCCATCAGGACCACTGAAACAGAGAGAAGGAAATTTTCAATTAGAACAAACACGGACAAAACTGCTGTGAAAGAAGAAAGAGAGACCCCCATAATTAGCACGCCAAGTTTTGAATTTCAATTACGGTGGAGAGAGGTAATTAAATGTTAATTGTTCCAACGTTTAAAAGGGAATTTATCATTTTTGGGTGCTGCTCCGGCATTCAAATGCAAATTAGCGCCAGATTGCAGATATCACGAGACTTTTCTAGGAGCGTATTATTTCATTTAGAGATGCTGCCGGCCATAAATTTACCCTTTATCGCCGCGACTTTTGACAAATTATTCAACAGAATATGGAAAGTAGTAATCATAAATTTCCCTCGCCTTTGTTCCTGCACGCCTATCCGTTTTGTATTTTGAGAGTTTTCGCAGAGAGTAAATCCGGCAGATTTGAAAGTCAATTTTCCGTGTGGATTTTGTTTAGATTTTTTTTTTTTTGTACAGAAAAATAAACATTCAAAATTTGCAATCGTATAATTTCAAACTCGCGCAACAAAGCAAATTGACTTTTCCCGAGAGCGAGGCTGCTTATTCGGCGGAAATTTTAAAAACCTCCGCTCCAAAGTAAACAAGACCTTTTCAGATGTTTGAAATAATCCGGCTGATAAGAGCAGCGCCGCTGTTTATATTAAGCGCGCCACTGGCATGTAAATTTATGCATTAATTCCAAAAGTCGCGCGAGCGCCCGGGTTATATTCCGGCCGAAGTATTTCTAAAAGGCCGTGCGAATTTTAATTTCGCGCACGACAGCTCTGCTATCTTGTCATCTGCGTTTCCTCTAAATTCGCCCACCACGGAGAAAAATTAATAACACACAACGGAATGGGAAACGGACGCCTAGTCGGTGATATTTAAATTTTGTGTGCTGTTGGGAAATAGCTACAGGGCTATTCAAACACGACAAATTATGTATTGAAATAACAAAGAATTTTATTATTTGGCACAGAAAAGTTTCAATAAAATCCTTCATTTTATACACATAGGAAAAACGTTTTGTGTTTTGTGATTATATTTTTCTGCTTTTATTTATGGTAGTTCTGAAATGATTTATGAAATTATTGGACTATATTTCTATTTTGACCTGTTTTTTGCAAAAAAATATAGAATTCACTATATTTGGGGGGAACAGGAAATATAGCGAATGCTATTTTTCAAGAGGCTGATTGCTTAATTTAGGACTATTTTTATATTTAATCAGATGTATTGTGCGTATAGAGTAACCTTATTTTGGAAAGGACCGCCTTCGAGATGGGAACTCGCGATAAAACAGGCCAAGTATCACATTGAATCAGGCCATGCGCTCGTGACAAAAATCCGGATTTAGTTTCAAAACGCAGCAAGCCCTGGTGGAAGAAGGCAAGAGGTCGCTCTTCCGAACGACCACAATGATATTAAAATAAAGAAAGAAAAAAATCTCGGCATAGACCAGTTTATCCCCATTTAAAAGCCCATAGACGAGGCGAGCAGCAGGTATGTGCACATCTTTTTTATTATAATCATTTTCGCACATTAAGCTAGCGGCGGGGAACACTCTCATGCATGGTAATTTATTCTTAATGCTGTAGTCTTCCTTTTTGGCAGAATTTTAGTGTTGAATATTAAGTTTCAAGTAGGCCGTATAAAACTCGTGCTGTAATTCACTCATAAAAGGACGTAAAATTAAAATATTTCCCCGTCACGCCAACAAGAGATTTTTTTATCGCGTCTTGTCTCCTCGTCGGAATCAACAGTTACACATTCCGCGGGTGTAATTGTTTTATTGCTTGCATTGTGTTCCGTCGGTTAATGGAGGAGAGAAGAAGTGTCTGCAGGCGAAAAAAGTATCGTCCTGCTGCCCTACAATCTGCGGCTTTGGCTCCGTTGGCGAAAAAGCCAGTTTTTCTATTTGTGGAAAAGAATGGAGAGAAATACAAGAAAAGTCGTTCCAAGAGCCAGATTTTCTATGTTATGTGACCCAGAATCATCTCAGACTCCATGAAGCGCATATTGATATAAGAATTTTGCTTAAAAAGCCAAGTTCAATGAAAATTTTTGACATGTAAATATGGTAAATTTTTTTGTCGTATGAAAATTAAACTCCAGTTGCATACAAATAATTATTATTTAATTAATTTAAAAGCTTCAAATATTTAATTTCTATCATTATTATTGTCCATTTTATTGGTTTTCCAGAAAAAAAAAAAAATTAGAGAAAAGCTCTTTGTTGGGAAGGAAATATCAAATTCTTGGACAAAAAGGTAAAGACTTGCATTAAAAATAACCCTGGGAGCCTCGATTGGCTGTTGATTTAATTTTCTAATCATATTTAATTATTTAAACCCTTTTTTTTAACTTCCCACATGACGATTTTCCCGACCGCCGATTTAGGTCAAAATTGAATTAAACACACCTGTCTTCTTCACTCTTTCCCCCGTCTATGCAAAAGAGCCAGCTGGCACATTTATTTGTTGTTAGTCGAGCGCACGTTGAATATGAAATGAGGCGGCACTAATATTGTGAAATTTTGTACCATTGCACGTCAATCATACCCCGCTGCCTTATTTTCCCGTCTGTTTGCGAGCTACGTGTGCAGCCTGAATGAAACATGAGCGCACATCTATTTCAGAGGCGGATTGAAGTAAAGCGCAGAATAACTGGAGCTACTTCACAAAATCAGACTGAATGAAATAATATCCAACAGAGGCAAACTGATTGCATCAGTCATAAACAAATAATATGAAAAGCAGTGACACATTTTTCCGCGGTATATTTCCAGCAATATTAAATCATTTGAACGCGACTAACGTGTCTCTTTATGCACCACTGACGCTGTGATTGCCTTGCTATTTATTAAAACAAAATTTCCTTTGAAACGGCAAATCTACCCACAATAATTCGATAAATAAAAATCAAAACTAATATAATTTAATTATTTATATCTAAATATTTTCTATATTTTGAATATTTTTCTTTTATTAAATTTATGCAAATTTTTTATCCATTTGTTTTCAGGTTGACTATTAATGGATAAAAAGCAGAATTCAAATTAGCTGGAAAAGTTTGTTTCAGTTTTTGGGTTGTGGAAATCAACATTCCTCTCTCGCCGGAGGTCGTGTGACATTTCGGCTACACGCGTACAATTTTTAATTAAAAGCTTCTCCCTCCCCTCTTTCCAAAGTGTCCAACATTTTCAATTACAAAACTCGTCCGTCTTTTAATTGGCATTTTTGCGGGCTGCACTCTTTTCCATCGGTGGCAAGCGGACAAAAATTTTTATCCCCACTCCGCTTGTGCTGCAGCAAAATAACGTTTAAATGTGGAAAAGCTGGCATTGAGTCGCGGAAAGAGCCTTTTTTGCTAAAAGCTGCTCGTGCTGGCCGGGGCTGGACTTTCAACTTGACGTCGGTCGAGTTGGACATGAACGTGCTCAACAGACACGGTCCGCATTTCACGCCTTTAGGGCTCACCAGGGGCTAAAATAAACGCTTCAAGTTTTTTTTTATATTTAACACAGGGGGCTCTAATTTGGTGCATAGTAATATAAAAAGGCCGGTGCAGCTGAGCGAGAGAGAAAGAAATTATACACTTCTGACAAATGATGACAGAAAGGGGAGCTGCTGGGAAAAAGGGGCTGCACTTCTCTTTTTACAAATAGAGCTAATAATAAATTGTGCAACATATTGTGCTAGCGCCCGGGGCAACATAATTTTTTACATTCACAATGGATTGAATGCTTTACATAAATACGATCTTGCCAATTATTTCACACTTTTCAGAGGCACGAGCCGCGAGTGATTTGCTACAATTCGGGTGACAACATCTGCATTATGAGAGGAACACATTCGACTATATAAAACTGCTGCAGGGTTTTTGACCCCTATTGACACGGAACAAAAACCAAAGTGACGATAAAAAGGGAACCCTTTTTTGCCAACACAAAAGATTGAGCGCGTCTGACAAAAAACCGCGGCGATTAGAAGGAAAATATTTTCGCGGACCTTTCTTTCCATTCAAATTGTGGACCATCACCGTGCGATTTCAACCAAATATAAAAAGGCGATACGCGTGGTGAGTCAGATTGTGTTTGTGCTCCGTAATGCTGGTCACTAACTCACTCTATTTATTCAAAGGGAACCGTTAGTCTGTCGTGATGTTCAAGATTAAGCGCGGCATTTATTCAGGTTTTCTGTATTCTCATTTCGTCTCGGCGCCGGGTCCGTACATTTATATATTTATTTATTTAAATTCGGAACATTTAACCGTGCAGGCTCGCTCCTTGTCAACGTCCTGGAAATAATTCATTATATTCGCGTATGTACACGCTTCGCGAATGGGAGGAGGCGTTGTTTGGAAAGAAATAATATTTGCATAAGCACACGCGAAACACAATACAAGTAAAATTGTTTGCCCGTGCAGTAGATTTGACTGACAGGCCAACACAAAGGTGATGCTCCTCGAGGTGGCCCATCCTTGATTTTTTTTTAGCACCGGCACGAAGCCGTTTTATTTTGATGAAAAATATATCTCGCTGCGATCGAGTGGTTTTTGCATGTGTGCCGCAGCAGACGAGAGAGATTTTTTCTTTCATCATTCACCCCCGCGCCTTTTTCGAGTATATGCATTTGTCGGAGAGCGATTGTAATGATATGCGCCCGAGATTTCTGCATTATACAACTATACAAAAGTCTCTTGAAAATCAATCTGGATATTGAGCGAGAGATGATTGAACCCTCTCTTTCAAGTTCGGCGGCATGCACGCAACTCTATTTTTTTTTCTTGGCTCCGTACGCAGCGTTGTTGAAAAAACTCACGTGCGTTAAGTATGTGCTGCACTCCCCTGCTTTTTCAAGGATATCCATGCACCCTTTTTTTCGCGAACAATGCCCTTTCGCAGATGACTTTCGCAAATTAGCTCCATACAACCGTGGGGAGAAAAGTGCGTGGGTGCTGAAATATTGCAGCGAGTATTCTCGACGCCGCGTGCATTTGATCT